ACACTGATGAAACAAGTAATTATAATCTGCAAAAAAAACCATACAAACCATCTGAAAACTATACAATACAGTATCTTCATATCCATATTTTTTTAAATGTTGGTACCCCTAGTAAACCTTGTATGGTTTTAGCAAATTTCTCATATAGGAAATAAGCTATTACCGTGGTACATGGTAAGACTTGGACCCGGGACCGATTTCCTTTTGTCGTTTTGAGGTCTGTAGAGGCCAAAAACACCATCCGTTCAAGCTCATATACATATATGTGTGTGTCCGTTAGCACAATAACCCAAACAAAAATGACAATTTTTGTTAAATCTTATGAGGCAAAAGGAAATTCGCTTAGTCTGCAGGTTTGCTGCGGTGAGGGTATTTTAAACTCTTACACATGCATCCATTTTTGTTTAATATATAAAATTGAATAAAATTGAGATTCGGATTTGTTTTAAGTTTTGGTTTCCGTATTGAGATTCAAAATTTCTGGCTTTAATCACTATGCAATAATTTGAATTATCTTCAATTGCTCTTCGTTGAAACTATGTTAAGATGAAAACATTTTCACAAATAACACCGGTGAAATTAAACAGAAATAAACATGATTAATAAATGTCCAAATATGATTGGAAATAGGACGAAAGTTTATATGACATATATGAGAGCAATACACAGAATGTGCTAAAAGATTTTACAATAATTAATTGCACCTAATGTTTCCTTTTAAAATCATATGCAGTACAGTAACACATGAATAAATTATGTTTTTGCGTAAACATAAACAAACTTAAAAAACACTTTTATAAGTCTGTTAAACTAAAGCTTGATAGGTTTATTCATGAACATGCTAGAAGCTGTTACAGTTTTTTCTTGCAGTTCAAACATGTTTCTAAAGATGTTTATTTTGTTTCTAATGTTAGACTTTGGAGTTTCAAAAAAGGATACGGAAACGTTTCAACGCTACCCTCCGCCATGGTCAACACAAGATTTAGAAGACGTAGAAGACTTGGATTCGAATACTCTTGGATATTGTGCTGAGGAAAATCACAGGGTAAGTTTTGTACCGACTAAAACAAAATCAAAAGTACTTGCTGTCTGAGTGGTTATACAGGGTGTCCCGGAACTCTCTACCAATATTTTAGGGCATTGCTCCTGGGTAAGAAACATACCTAAATATCATATTTAAAACGTCCTGAAGTCCTTAGTTACTCACACAGCCACCATTTTGTTTTTTTCAGTTATTAATTTTTTTCTAAAGAATGGTTAAACATACGAAATGGAAACTTTGCGCAAACATTTATGACAACTAGGCCTAGACAAAGCTACCAAAAGATTATGAAGATGTTTCAAATTCACAAAACAAAATGGTGGCGGTTTAAAAGTTTGTTTCTTAAATAACTCGAACTTGATTCTAAACTTAAAAGTCATGCAATATTACATGACAACATAGCCTACATGCCAGGAGGGGCCTATTGTTTATTATTTTGCTGACATTTCACTAAACATGAATATGACTATTTCTCAAGATGGTTACCTATATGTTTGTACTTTACCATACCGGAATAAAAAAATATGCTGTTTTAATTTTGCTTATATTGCTAGAGTTCTATTATTTTAGGTCAGTCACTTAGTTTCTGTTACATTTATCGTTCAAGCAAATTAAAACTGATGTAATTGTTTGTAGTGGACTGTATAAATTAAAATCATGTGTTGCTGTAAAAGAACTGAGTTTATTTAATTATTAAAATATGAAAAACTGAGCATACATGAAGGAATGATATAACCTAGAATTGATTGACTGAACTTAAATGACTTTAAATAAATGATAATGAACTTCCTGGACAATGTATTGCCCAGTGTGCTGCAGCACAAAAAACTCGACTGTCACGCACGGTAAGAGTGTTGCTTTAGTGAATAGACCTGGACCCAGGGGCGCAAGAGGTTTTAGGAGGTTTGTGGCATAAGGAAGAGTTTTGCACCTAGCATGGAGGGGGGGGAGGTTCAATTATTATCTGTTGAGCCCATGGCACGTCATCACATGCAAAACACGGGCATGATACTCTCCAGTGACTGCTTATCACTAGTTTACAATAGTCAAAATTAGTATGGTAGTAAAATACTGAAATAGAGCATGAAATAAGTAAAGTCATGAGGTGTTTTGTGTAGATAGCTAGTGTCGCTGAAACTACCATACAAAATACATAGGTTATAGACACTCCATACTGCAAGACGCAGAAAAGTAAATTTCAGTTCTGGCATGTTGTGCCAGGAATATACTTGTGACGAGAAAATGAGAGCCCGAAGGTGAGCATTGTGCTGAAATTCTTATGGCACAAGGCACAGGGTTCTTCCTCCACCTTGAGCGTTGTAGTACATAAAGGCGAGGGGTGGAACTTTGCGTTAGTCACCAGCACTAGTGCTAGACACCACCAAGTTTACCATTGAGTGATTTCTCTGTGTGCAAGATGAGTGTGGAATGAAGTATATTATAGGTAAGACAGTATTACCTGTATTATGTTTTGTAACAATTGTTTTGTGAGTATCTCTTAGCCCGTGGACTCTATATCTCATGGTAGCTATTTAAACTATACCATTTTCGATTTAATTCCTTAAAAAACTGGTTTACTAAAGGTACCAACATGGTTTCAGTGTGGCCACACAGAACAGGAGTCATATAGCGGCCGATGGGTGTACTGCTGTCCTGGTCTCTGGTGTTCGCCCGATCCCAAGACGAGCACTGATCTATACAGTATCACTTGTGCTAAATTAACGGATACGTTCACCGACTCGTGTTGGTACTACGAATATCCGTTTCAAAGATCAATATGCATCAGAGACGAAACTTATCCTCCATTACCAGTTGATTACAAACGATACGACCAACATGATAAAGTGAAACCTGAATTCAAAGATGAAAATATAAATTAATAAACATTGTTTTGATGATTGTTAAAGGTTGTTTTAGCGAATTTCCGTGAGGGAAGTAGCTATTACCGTAGGTCTCATGGTAACAGCTAGGCTCGGGACCGATTTACTTTTTCCTTAGTTACAGACACAATTACAAAATCATAATGTTTAAATTTCCTATGTTATTCTAAATTGTTGTAGTTTACTTGTTTATCGATATATTTTTATCACACTTGGCAAATTTTATTATTTTATACGCTATTAATTTTTTTTATATACATTTTGTTAGCATCCCTGTAGTAGGAAATAGTTATTTGTGTAACTAGTGGTGAAAGTGGCACTTTGCTGCACACGAGAGCAATGTTTACCTACACACATGCACACCTAGAAGTGGTCTAGATAGCACTCTCAGCATTTCTCAAGTCTCTGTCAAATTTGAAGCAATAATGGTGGATTTCTATGTGAGGGGGAGTTAACATTTAAGGATAATGTTAATTAATTAGTATTTAAAGATTGTAGAGTTTTGAAACTTAGGGGCGACAATCCTGCTACATTGTGCCTGTCTATAATTATTTAGTCCAATGCACCAGAAGTGTTTTATAAAGAAATATTGGGGGGTTAGAGTAAGTAGTTTAAGAACTGTTTTGGGGGGGGCGGTTGAATTATTTGTTAAGGGGGGGGGGTTCACACCGCTTGGAGGGCCGTGTAGTTACGTAGTGCGTACGCCGTAACTACATGGTACATCCCAGTGGTGTGCGCCAGAAGCTATGGTATCTATATTTAATTCTTTTTGTCTATGGTAGAACCGCAATGAGAATTCATAACTTGTTTTTACTTATAACAGTGAAAAACTTGACTCATAACAAGCCTCAACTGGTGTAGAGATTACTATTTACTAACCTTGCGCTTTGGGGTTGTTTTGCCAATCTGATGTCAACTTTATCTTAAATTGAGGAATGGTTCAAAACTAAAATTTGCAATAATTTTCTCAAAATTAACCTAAAATACTAAACATTTATTACCTAAATTGTCTTGCCAAATTAAACAAAATGTTTGCCAAGTCTTTGTTGAAATTAAACCAGTTAAAAGGGGCTTAAAAAAACAAAACAAAAAAAAAAACACCCTAAAAATCCTATGACCCGGAAGATAACCACCTGTGTTTGTTTATCTAAATGGGATGGAAGGGTCCAAGATTTTATGTATCAATGAATAACAGTTTATAACGAAAGCTGAGGTTTACATTTCCAAAAGTTTAATACCTAATTAAGTTTTGATAGGTGCTTTAAGAAGTCAAGTTTAGCGTAATAGTTTGACAAGGCAATTATAACTGTCAGCAAAACTGACCTTTGAAACTAATAAGCAGTTAGTTTAAAACTTATTCTAATGGTTATTTTGATAAGACAACCTTTGACATGAGCAATTTACCCAATTTAGGACTTTGTTAGAACATTTCCTAATCAATGAAAGACGAAACTTTACTAACTAATGATATTTCAATATTAACCGGTCTATAATAGATTGTTTCAATTTTCATAGATAGAACAAAGACTTAAAGAATTTCAATAGTAATGGTCGATTTATTTTAATTTAATTTTTTGTAGAAATTGACTCAAGCAGTTCTAAACGAAAGTAGTATGTTCAATTATTTCATTGGTTAGTTAGTGAAGCTTTTATTTGAATTTGGAAGGTTTACACTTTTAAAAGATATTTATGACTTAATTAATTAAATAACTAATGGGTTGTGCAAGTGTAAAGCAAAAAAAGTCTATTATTATATTATATTATTATTATATTATAAAAACGTATAATTATATAGTAAAAGATTTGACATAACAAAACTTGAAGACCATTTCATCAGCCTCAATACCTATAAATAGCTCTTCATGATGCTTCTCTTAGATTTGGCCTTTTGCCGTTTTAGTGGCGTCTAATTTAGGTGTAATAGTAAAAATAACTAGTCCCATGTTGTTTTGTCATGTGCTCATTATATAACTCTTACCTAATATTCAATGAGTAGCTCCTAAAAACGGGACATTATTCTATACCCAAAAACACTGAATGAGGTTTTGTTTGGTATACTGGTAAATAAATTATACACATTGAAAATCAACAATTGTTTAATTTGTTTTAAAATAAAAACATAACCAAAAAATAGAAAATTGTCAGGTAAAAATACAGAAAAAAGATATTTCTAATGCTTACAATTTTATTTAACTATTTTTACTACTTCGTGGAACAACAAATATATTGGTGTGATTTAACTGTTAAGTCAAATTAAAGAAGATAATAATGAATTTAAAATCTTGTAACTAATTATTTTCATAATTTGGCTATCCGGTTGAACGAAATTATAACTCTGAAACAAAAAAGTTTTTTATTAGAACACAAGATATATAAGAGCAAGAAGTTATTGACATAAGATAATCAACACTAGAAGTTTAATAACTGATTCAACAATTACAAAGATCCCATGACTAGGCAACTAATCTATAGACGAAAGAATTATTTTAGATCAAAGTATTCTGTGTACATTCACTGATAAATACATTCAGTCAAAATAGTGAACACAAATAAGTTAAAATGTCATATTTACTTTACTATTTTAAAGAACACTTAAGCTACACTTTTTTTGCACAAACTTTTATATTAGTTGGCATGCGAGCCTGCTATAGATCAGATGATGAAAGTTAGCAATTTCAACAACAAAATTTCTTATTTCCATTACCTATTGTGTAATATGCTGGTAATTTAAACAGTAATGGGTGAATGAAAAGCAATGGCTTTCCTTCTATTCTTAGGTCTGTTCAATGATTTTCTTCATTTTTTTACAAATCGTGAAACCCTGTTTCATAACAGCAAAACAGAAACAGTTGAAAAGAAGATTCTGTCCTAAGAATGCAGTTGCAATGTTTCTAACAGTTGTCTTTGTTCTGATAGCCTATGATGCGCTTGAATTAAAACCAACTTTAGTGACCCTTTAGTAGAATCAGTCACTTTTTAGTGGTCAGTGGTATTCACTATTCGGATACTGAAAATGTTCCTACCAGCTGTTGCCAAATGTTTATTCCAAAAGAACATACGGTAGAATGAGTGTGCTTCAATCTAAATTCTTTTTTCTTCCAGAGATTTTTGTGACAGCCTATGTGCCACTGATGCCACAGTTCACAATAATTCTTCCTATCAGTTTAACTTGGTTAAAAAGTTTACGAATTCATAAGAAATTAGTAATTTACTTCAGCGCACTTGGGTTAGATCCGACTGCGTCAATTTGGATTCCAAAATGGGCGAGGGCTTTGACCTGGGAGCGTAATGTCAAACCCAGTAGACACTCAGAGCCACAGTACCGCCATTTATAAATTTAAAAATATTATTGCCTAAAGGGCAGCCAAGGTTGAGATACTTACACACACGGTTGGCAACCTTGCACTGGCGCAAAGCCTCGTTGAAGCCTTCGCACAGAGTGAGGTCGCTCTGGCCCTGCGCGCACTGCAGGAACTGTTTGATCTCCCAGGCGCAAGGTCCTGTCGGCTCCTGAGGGCCCGCACCTGCTGCGTAGTTGCTGGGAGGAGCTGCGGCTGCGGCAGGCGCAGCAGCCTCACTACTGCCTCCACTGAACATCCCAGTCATGGCGTGCCCGAGGGTGTGACCCTGGGAGAGATAGTCATCAGGCGATGGTCGTAAACAATTTGTAAATTGAGAAACCCTTTGAATTTGTTGAAGGTTTGCTATTGGGCTGTGTGTAAGACGAACGTCTTTACGCTATTGTTACTCAATTAAAATGTTTTCAACTAATAACTTACAGTCGGGACCATATAAGTTTGCAGTTGAGGGAGGAGCTTATTTACCATATGGTTTTGAATGAACCAATGAGAACGGTGCGGTGTTGTCAAATATAATAATACCAGCTAATTTGAAAATATTTCTTATTTGCTTTGTATATTTTAATTAGTGTTGTCAATGGGCGGTGTGGCAACATCGCACTAGCCTTGTCATGTGATTGGCTGCCACCAACTGCAAACTTAAGTGGTCCCGACTTTTGGTATTCTAATGCTTAGGTAACTAATGCTGCAATTCCCAAGTGGTATTGGGAACATATTAATTTTCCCAGAAGTATGTTATTAAATGTTACAGCAATAGGCCCTACAGCAATATAGTATTTTATTTCACTTAAGTCTGAGACGCAAACTAGACAAGTAGCTCACCCAACGGTTTGATGAATTAATATAAATAGTACAATGTACCACTAACACATTTTTTTTCAATCTTACTCACTAAATTCAATTTTTAAATATGGTAGGGCTATCTAGTTAATTGATGGTAATTGCAATCACCCCAACCAATTAGAGCCAGTAGGCAAATAGCAAGGATAAATAAAATGGCTTCCGTATTGCATTCCTATTGAGCCCAATGATTAGACAGAACCAACAACTCCCACTTGGAACCTTTAGAATACCGTAACTATTTATTTTCCCCTTAGTATGTAAATAAGTGCATTAAATCGAAGTTTTAGGTGTGTTTAATTTGAATATTGAGGCAAAATTTAAACCATAGGTTTTTAAGTTCAGGCATACATTGTGAAATAGCATAACACCTCGATCAAGAACACTACAATACTTAGTAGTCTAAGTGTTTTGTCAAGTTCAACAAGTTACAGTAATTTCGATGAAATTAAGTAAGGCCTAGGCTACTTAATTTTGTAAGAACTTCAAAGATGGTGACATACCTAATGAAAATTTACTTGTTAATTTGGTCAAATAAATGAGTTATTGATGAAGAAGTTATTGCTGGACACAGATTGTTACTTACAACGGCAGATCCGACAGCTACTCCACCAGCAGTGGCAGCCATCTGCTTGAACATGCTGGGCTGCTCCTGTACCACCATTGGCTGAGCGGCCGCAGGCGCTGGGGCCGGTGCGGCAGGCGCAGACCTCATTGGAACATTTCTGACAGATGCCAAGAATAAAGTATTGTAAATTCAAAATCATTAACCAAAAACCGGTACTTTCCTGTTAAGTGAACATTCATTATTATCGATAATTTTTTTCAAAAACTTGTATTGATATTTAATTTTTCGATCCGATAAATTGATATTAACAAATTTAAACATATCAGCTGACGACTAAATTTAACGATAAATAATTATTGTTCAGTATCATCAACAAACAACTAAAAAAAATGTTATATCAAAATGAAAATGTTCTAAACTAACCCAACCTAACCAACCAAACTTGCTGTGTAACATTTCAAAATTCCGTTTGATATCCCCACATGCCTTTACTGTTATCAAACGGAATTTTGAAATGGTAGGCCTACTACAGCAAGTTTTATTACATTAAGATTATATTTAGGTTAGTTTAGAACAGTTTCATTTCTTAATCCATGTGTATATGTATTATTTTTGTCTAGAAAAGATCAGTTGTCAATTTGTAATTTAAATGCGTTTGAAGATATTAAAACAGAAGGAATATGGATCATAAAGGAAAACAAAAATTTGATATATCGAGAGAAAAAAAATATTATTATAAGACTTGCCGTCTTGAACAGTAGGAAGAAAAAAAATCTTCGATAATAATGAATGTTCCCTTTAACAGGAAAGTACCCACAAACCTAGAACAAACTGACAATTTAAAGTTAATTTCGATGCAACCCATTAATTAACCTAGCAGTGGCCAATGTTTTTAAGTGTGGAATGGCCAGCCCATTATGGCGATTTTGCAGGGTAGGCTACCTTTTTTTGAAAATTCACAAAAATTCTACCGTAGAAGTAAACTTAGCCAACCTCATATTCCTTTTGTTTGAAAAGAACAGGAGATTCTAGAAATAGTTTTATAATAATGATTTAGAAAGTTAATGTTTTTTTTAAGTGAAAAGAATAACTTATAAATGTGGTAATCACAGAGGAATATCTTTGCTCAGTCATGGATATAAAGTTTTATCAAAGATTATTCAAAAGTGCCTCGAGGAATACACAAGTAGTATAATAGAGGATCACCAGGTGGGATATTTAAAAGGGAGATCTACAATGGATCAGATTCACATACTTAAACAAGTTATTAGTAAGCACTGGGAATATAATAAAGAAGTACATGGGCTTTTCATAGATTTTTCAAAGGCCTATGATAGCCTTGACCGGGGGAAAAGTATTTCAACAAATGGAAAGGCGTGGAATCCCCAGAAAATTAATACAACTAGTAGAAATGTTCCTGAATGGATCAAAATGCAAAGTAAAAATAGATGGAGAGTTGTCAGAAAGCTTTTAAGTAAGGACAGGTGTAAGGCAAGGTGATGGACTGTCACCTATAGCCTACTATTTAACATAGCCTTAGAAGAGGCCCTCCAACATGTAAAACAACAAATACAGTAGAACCTTGATAACAAGACTCTCACAGGGATCATAAAAAGACTTGTTATCAAGGTTGACTTCTTATCGAAGTTTGCAATAACATGTAATTAGGGGTAAAATAATTTCAAGGGGATTTGAAAATGACCCTTGTTATCAAGGGTGACTTGTTATCGAGGGTCTTCTCATCGAGGTTCTACTGTATGGGCTTTGAAATGGGAACAAAAATAAACATCCTAGCTTTTGCGGACGATGTAGTAATTCTGTCAAAAAACAGAAATGACCTAGAGGAGCTAACTAACCAGACTGTTCATACAAAAAACAGAGAAAATAGGCCTAAAGATTAATGATGAGAAGACAAAATATAAGCACTTCACGAGACAGCCAAATGAAATGAGGGAAAATGTCATTAGTATAGATGGACATATTTTTGAAGTGGTTGAACAGTTTAAATATCTAGGGGTAATTATATCAAGCAGAAATAGTGAAGAATGGAAATAAATTATAGGATTTCTCAGGCCAATAAATGTATGTAGGCCTAAAACTTACACTTGTAAGAAATTGTTGACTTCAAAGATTCTCTCGTATAGAACGAAAATAATATATCATAGTATAATTCAACCAGTATTAACATATGAAGCTGAAACTTGGATTTTAAACAAAAAAGAAGAAAACAAAATGATTGTTTTTGAAAACAAAGTTTTAAGAATGATATATGGCCTAACACAGGAAAATGGAGAATGGAGAAAAAGGCATAAGAAATATGTACAACGATTAAAATAATGTAGTAGGTGATAGTAAGGAGAATAAGGTGGGCAGGGCACGCACTACGGAGAGAACATGGGTTCACTATTAAAAGAAGCAAGTGTAGGAAAGCCAGAAGGGAAACGACCATTAGGAAGGCCCGGAAGAAGAGATGGTGGGATAGTGTCTCCAAGGACATCAGAGAAGTGGGGGCAGCAGTGGAAGAGGCAGAAGATCGAGAGAGATGGAGAGCAATAAGGTTATGTTTATGTTTAAAAATACAATTATATTTTTTTCCCCTTTCAGTGCTAGGCCAATAATTCGTATTTCGTAAGACTTTTTTCTTTGCCTTTCAATTCCATTACCTATTGTTGAATTTTAACTGTAATGTTGTCACTATTTTATTAATTAGGCTAATTTTGAATAATAAGACAGTAAGAAAATAAATAACAAAGATAAATCCCGGTATTTGTAATAAACTTTAAATAAAACTTAGTTTTTGTTGTAATTTTCTGATTTTCCCATAAATCTTTATGTTCTGATGGCATTGTTTGAAACAAAAATCTCACAAAATCAAAAGACATATAGTTTACAAAGTAATATTGAATTGAACTTTGATTTAGTTGGACAAGGTTATCGTTAAATAACCATTTAAGGGAAAATAATGTTTTGCAGCAAAGTCTCAGGAACACATTTAAATGATCACTGTTGTATTTCAACTGAAAAATATCATCTAAATAGTCCGTGACTAACTAAGTTAGTGCTGCTACCTAGTTTCGCATTGAACAACCATCTGTGGCGCTATCTGTTCGCAATCAGTGGCGTCAGCATATACCGGTTTTTGACTCTTCAGTCTTCAAGCACAGATAGCCGAGAAGGCTAGGGCGTGTGTCACTTGGCCAGTGGCATTCGTCTGCTCGGGTTCGATTCCAGTCCTGTGTGGCAAATAATTGGTGACCTGTGTGTTTGTAGCGATATACTACAACAACTGGGGCATAGTGAGGTGTTCATAATCCTTGGTTTAGACATACACCTCGAAATCATCGGATTGGGCGAATCTTTTAGCTAAGTGGTTGTTTGTGTATCCTATGAACATGCAGGTCACCAATGGCCATTTTGCTACTTTTTGTTAAAATAACCTTCCTCTCTATATCCCTTAGAGATTTTTTAAAACAGCGATATATTGTTTCATAGCACTGAAAGGGTTAAGCTGAATTGTATTTTTAAACATAACCTTCAGTTTTGTGATGTGTCTGATGATTCCAGCATTGCTGGCGAAAGGCCTCATGAAATTAAAAATTCAGAAATATTGGTGGTTTTTTTCAAATTTATGAAAAAATATTCATTAGAATCTGAGAAAACGGGTGTCATGCCCTGGATGACTTTTTTACGGATTGGCTCTAATGTCTTCAGCTGACCGAATTATGTGATACATGCAATTAGGCCTATTTGAAAATTTGTAATAGCCTTTGGGAAAGTAACATGGACGAGGCCTACCTAGGCCTTTGTTACTTAAACTTAAGTTCCCTATTAAAGCTTACATGTTGAATCTCTTCTTAAAGTAAATGTGGTGGATTTCAAATTCCAAGGTTAGAGATAAGAGTTAATTATAAAATCATGTGACTACCACTAACTCAAATTGAGCAATCCAGGTGATTATCTAGTCCTAGCCATGTCTCAAAAACTTTGACTCAAACGCCTAATTGCTTATTGCATAATAAGCCTGTACGTAAGCTAAAATTTTAGGAACAAGATATTTCAGACAGAACACAAAATGCGTGAAACAAAAGCCCAAAGCTATGGAATGTTTCTAGAGGAGAATGATTCCGACACTGAAACGTGGTTCAGAAAATGCGTAGGTAGCCTATAGGCCTAAGTCAATCAATATTTCACAATAGGTAAACCATTGGTATTACAACTGAAAATTGCCTCACCTGCTAGGAGTTGGGGAAGGAGACCTTCCACGTCGCGGCATTTCGGAAAACTATAAGAAATACTTCTCAAAACCACCAGAAAGGTGAAAGACTGCACAAGGCAAAAGCAATTTAATGTCTTCTCAAGGGCGAACTGACAGTGACTTCTTCTCTCGTTCTCTGTAGTCTGTGTCTTCTGTCTGCTGAGAATATAACAGACAGGGAAGGGGAAATGGCAGTAATTTTAGCGTTTTACAGGTTCTAGAACAATAACGTAATCGTGACGTATTAGCCCAGGCAAATTAGACATATGCTCCCCAAAAAACCGTCTAAAGCTGGAAAGTGTTTTAATACCTTTTGGGGATCCCAATTAAGAGTCCTGTGAGTTTGCGACGGATTCTGACGTCTGCTTAAGTTTTGGGAGTCGAAAAACTATGACAATTTATTTGCACTTTTTTCAGTTTGTCACTTATAACTACTAAATAACGAATCCTACGGAAAATGTTGTTCAAAGGTCTCTTTTAGTGCATTAAATTCTTCGTCGATTAATGTTAAATACGTCAAAATCGGCCGAGCCGTTTAGCCGCAATAGCTTTTTAAAGTTGGGTCATTTTCATCAACATGGCCAAAAAGTTGATTACAGTATTTGACCAGTTTTCGGCTTTCAACTCCTAATCGACGCTTGCTATGCAAAAATGCACCTGTAGTTAGTTTGGAAAACACAACATTCTGCGTAATATGTTTTTTTGCCAATCAATAATGGTAATTGACAATAAGACAATAAGACATTTTATTGACCGTTAAGTAAATACAAAATACAATAGGTCTTGTCAATTTTAAAAATAGGCCTAATAAGTTAGCTACATAAAATAAGAAATTAAGAAATTATGGCGAGTCAGGTACTGTGTGGTATTGGCTTAAGGACTATTAAACAAACATGAATCATAAATAATTTAAAGACAAAACAATTATAAACATTTCAGAACAAAATAACAAAACAAGCCTAAACTATCACAATTTCTCGCTCAAAGTATTCATCCACCGAGTACATGGGATTTTCCTGTAGCCATTTGTAAAATTTGATTGCTGGCTAATTTGTATAGTCACCATTTAATTGAAAAAAATATTAAAGTTAAAGTTGGAAAATTGTACTAAAATTAATATTTAATATTAATATTTTTTCAATGAAATGGCGACCATACAAGTTAGGTTAATACTCAATGATACTAGAGTCTAAGCACGGCCGCCTTTGGTCTAAGTGTCTATAGGGTCTAGAAGGACTAGAGTAGAGGGAGCTGGAAGCTGGGATGGTATTTTGACTTTTCGTCTGCTTCTGCTTGTTTCTTGTTTCAGTTTGAGGTTATGTTGATAAACGTGTGCTTCGCTGCTTCCTTCAGTAGAAAACAATTTGTCCAAAAACATGTTAAACTTATCTTAACTTGCCATTCCTTTATTTGAATTGCGATATATTACCTGAAACAATGTCGCGATTAATTATAAAGAACCTTCCAAATTCAGTAAGTACCTTGTCATTAATTACCCTAGTTGTTCAGTTCTTAGTAAACAATATCATTGACACATAGGCCTAGACTATTATTTGAGAATAGTTCATTAAACCCTACCATCGTAGTTTTTTATTTTTAATAGATTTGATCTTACATTAAACATCCTGTTAAAACTGTGTTTTATAGACACCTTTTAAAGCAAAAGAGTAGGATAAATAGAAATGCTGTAGGCCTAGCTGCATAGTCTCATCAATTTCTTTCATTAAGTTAGGCCTTTTACTTTATAAGGTGTCTGTTGTTAAAAAAAACCAATTGATATATCGAACGATCAATATTTTCATTCGGTTGGTTTGACAACTAGCTAAGTTATGTGACGATATATCATTGTGCGTCTTTTTCACGATAAATCCTACGGAACGATATAAGTTACAGTTGTGCATGTTTCATCCGAAAGGTGCAAAGCCACGATATATCGTGCCAACCCGACTTTTGATCGTGTGAGTTTAAAAGGCTTATATCGGATGACTCCTCGGTTAGGTATTCTTTTGAACCAGCCATGATTCCTTCCGATTCCTCATACGACCGAGGCCCAATATATTGAGATTCAAAATTTTATTTTTACAAATTTTATCTACCGCACTAGACTTTGCCCCCGCAGTAAGCCTAGCTTTTTTTCGGATGACATAAGTAGCCTAAATAACTCTATCACTTTTTGGAAGATAGGCTAACAAAACAATTTCCTATCATGAAAGGAAACCCTGGTCTTGTTATTACCTTGTATATTAACCTATCATCATTTTTTATAGCCAGATCAATGTGACCTTCTGATATGAAAGTGAGCACTGTAACCATTTGCCACCCAAGACATGTTTTATATTTAATAGGCCTAGCTGTATGTTTTCTTGAGGTTTGGCGGTTTTTGGAAATAAAGTCATGTTTGCATGAGGCCATTGGCGGGCTGGTTACTTGCCTCTCGTAACTTAAAATACTGCTCTACTGGCTTCGTGTAAACACAGCTTGACAAATTAAAAATCAAGTCAGTTTTAACCCACTATTTTATCTATATTTTAGATTACAGCTGAAAAGCTGAAGGAGCGTTTTGCTACCAAAGGTGTGGTCACGGATATACAACTTAAATATACTTCTGATGGGAAATTTCGACATTTTGGATTTATTGGTTTCCAAACGAAAGAAGAGGCGGATAGAGCTGTAGACTATTTTAATAGCACTTATATAAACCAATCAAAAATAACAGTTGAACACTGTGCGGATCTTGGTAAGTGTTATGTATATTTAGTACATTTAGATTTTATTGTAATTTTATTAACCCTTGTTTAACTGAAATTGTCGTGTAATGTCATATTTTAAATCGCCTATAAGCAGAGTGTAGTCCTGATGGCTGATTATATCAAATGATTTCTGATGTTAGCCTCAAACTTGACATATTAAATTAGTGAGATAACTTATGAAGTGTTGCTATAGTTGTTATAAATTTTAAATGAAAATTATTAAAATTTTTTTGTAGATGTACCGTATCCCAAAATAAAAACGGGACCGGTCTTGTTTTTTTTTTATGTTAGGTACGGTACATAATTATCTCTTTTATATCTCTGTTCTGTTGTATCATACAAAAATTTAATAGTAGACTACCATTAAATTTAGAAATAAATAAAACTGTTTTTATCCAGCAAAGAAAACGCTGAGTTAATTTAACATTTGTCACACTGTATATAATGGATACTGGAATGTGAATGGTCTGAAAACTTTTTTTTGTAATTGAGAAATGCTTAGAGGGTGTGAAATATGTACGGTATAAAATCCATAGATGTATGAACAGAATAGGGGAAAAATATGTCTAAAGTACTCAAAAAAATATTTTTAACGCGTTCACTGCGGCACATTAAACGGCAGACGTTTCCCCAGTGACGGTGTTCCGCAGCGTCGAACAAACCTGATTGCCATGTGTAATTGGCTATCAAATTTCGGTCTGATGAATAGCAAATAACGTGCTGGGATGACCTGCTTTACGACGAGAGTCGACATAGTTTGCTAAAACACCCACAGATAGCAGCACTGTTTGGAACGTAGACGATCCCATTGTGATTGTAATGCCAATTACAGGGAGCAAGTTACAGGGACAACAAGTTGATTTTTAAGCTCGCCATACGGGGATTTTACGGGGAAATTTACTACCTACCTCCACCACAACAAAAGTCACACACTACACGCTAACGTGGTATAGGTCCGCCTTCGACCGACGTTAGGGCGAAAACAAAGATATACGAAAGGCATTGCCAAGCGTTCCCGATCGGGTACAGATGGAGCACCGTACCCGATCGCCCGGGAACGGCCACACTGAACGTGTTAAGGAAAATGTATCTCAGAGATATAGTGCAACCGGTCAAGTTAAAAAATAGGTGCGACCGATGGAGAGTTAATGTCCCAGAACCACCGTGAAACAGCTTCGCTAAATCATAATTCTATTTATATTTCAGGAGACGCAGCCAAACCAAAGGCTTGGAGCAAGTATGCCCCTGATAGTTCTGCGTATAAAAAACTTCATTCTACCGAAGAAAAACCAAAAGTCAAAGAGGAAGCACAGTCTGGTTCTAAGAAAAAAGAGAAAAAAGACAAGTTAAACTTAAATCCTGAAGTCATTGAAAAGTTAAAAAAGGTAAAGGAGTGAGCTACTTTATGTGAAAAGTACCTGGGGACCGAGCTTTGCTCGGGGAAAATCATTAGTTTCCTCTGAAAGCAGTCTTAGTATTGCAGATACATAAATCCATTCCCAAACTCCACAGTGCTCGCCTTTACTACTTCCATCACCACTCCCAACGTCGTGGACCTGTTTCCCCCTTCCCATTGCATCTTAGAATTGCAGATACATAATTGTAATTTAGGCAGACGGTACCCATAATCTGCACTGCTAGCCTTAGTACTTCCTTCACCACTTCTTACGTAGTGGACCTGTTTTCCACCCTTCCTATAGCATTTCAGGATTGCAGGAACCCTAATCTAATCGTCATAAACAGTTCCCACACTCCAGACTACTCGCCTTTACTACTTCCTCCGCCGCTTCATACGTCGCAAACCTGTTTCCCTCCCTTCCCATTCCATTTTAAGATTACAGATGCCTTAATCTAATCGTCATAAACAGTTCCCACACTCCAGACTACTCGCCTTTACTACTTCCTCCGCCGCTTCATACGTCGCAAACCTGTTCCCTCCCTTCCCATTCCATTTTAAGATTGCAGATGCCTTAATCTAATCGTCATAAACAGTTCCCACACTCCGGACAGCTCGGATTGACTATTTCCCTCACCACTTCCTACGTATCGGACCTGTTTTCCTCTGTTCCCATAGCATTTTAGGATTTCAGATACCTTAATCTAATCGTCATAAACAGTTCCCACACTCCAGACTACTCGCCTTTACTACTTCCTTCACCACTTCCTATGTTGCGGACCTATTTCCCTCCCTTCCCATAGCATTTTAGGATTGCTAATACATTAATCTACAGTTCCCACACTCCAGACAGCTCACCTTGACTACTTCCTTCACCACTTCCTACGTCACAAACCTGATCCCTCCCTTCCCATAGATTGAACATTTAGGCCTAACATTTTTGTTGCCAATAAAATTTGTCAATTATTACTTTTAAAGTGGTTAGTTTGATGTTTATCATGG